GTTATCATCATAGTGGAACAAAAACTATGTACTAAAATGTTGGAGCCAGGCAAAAGCTCCTACACAGCATTTACCAGACCCTCTCTCACTGTAATGGTCAGACCTGATGATCATAAAGGCCTTTTCCAACCTAGCTGATTCTACCATCTCAGCCTACACTACTTCCCAGCTCCCATGCATGACCCACCACCTCCATGCAAGCATTGCCATCTACCCATTCCAGCCCATCACCAAAGAAGAACCTCCATCAAATCACCTCCATTCCCACAAAGGCCACCCAGATCCTTCCATAGCATCCTTCAACCACCCCCCAAGCTCTCCATGTCAGATCTTGGAGAACATCTGTGCCTAATGGAAGAGGAAAGCATACCTGCAGAATGCACTTGGGGACAGGGACTGCAAGACAAGGCTTTAAATCTCAGCTTCATCACAAGCTCAGTGGTACAGATACTTGGGTAGATTTGGTTTAAACATCTCACCCTGACAGAGAGAAAAGAGGATGCTGTGTGGTTGAGTGCCTTGTGTCTGCAATTCAAAAGGCACCCACATCTGAAGGGCTGCCAACAGTGAGCTGCAGCTCTGCTCTGCAGGAGGGGCTGTTGCCTTCCCATCAGTTGAGCTGCTAAAAGTACTGGGAACTTGTCACTGGAGTTAGACTCTCACCCGTTGGAGCAGGCACCTGAAAACTGAGTTTACTGAAATGCAGCTATGGATGGCTATAAACTCATCAGAAGGGACAGGCAAGGAAAGAGAGGTGGTGGGGTACCCCTGTGTGTTAGACAGTGCTTTGACTATCTACAGCTTAATGATGGCTGAAGGAGATGATCCTGCCCCTCTGCTCTGCTCTCGTGAGACCCCACTTGCAGCACTATGTGCAGCTCTGGGGTCCTCAACATCAGAAGGACATGGAGCTGTTGGAACAAGTCCAGAGGAGGCCACGAGGATGCTCAGGGGCTGGAGCAGCTCCTGTATGGAGCCAGGCTGAGAACATTGGGGCTGTTGAGCCTGGAGAAGAGAAGCTGTGTGGAGACCTCAGAGCAGCTTCCAGTGTCTGAAGGGGGCTGCAAGGATGCTGGAGAGGGACTCTTCATTAGGGACTGCAGTGATAGGACAAGGGGTGATGGGTTCAGACTGAAACAGGGGAAGTTCAGGTTGGAGATAAGGCAGAAGCTCTTCCCTGTGAGGGTGCTGAGGCGCTGGCACAGGGTGCCCAGAGAAGCTGTGGCTGCCCCATCCCTGGCAGTGCTCAAGGCCAGGTTGGACACAGGGGCTTGGAGCAAGCTGCTCCAGTGGAAGGGGTCCCTGCCCGTGGCAGGGGTTGGGGCTGGAGGGGCTTTAAGGTCCTTTCAACCCAAACTATTCTATGATAGGGTTGAGAGATTATGGATAATAATCATGGGGAAGGCCAACAAGGCAGATGTCATGGTGGGAATCTGTTCTAGACCACCCAACCAGGATGAAGAGGCAGATGAAGCACTCTATAAGCAGACCAGGCCCAGTCAGCGTGGGTTAATGGAAAGCAGTTGGTGACCAGTCATAAGTCATGCTCCCAGGGATCAGCACTGGGGCCAAATTCCCAAGCATCCCAAGTAACAATGAGCCTGGGGAATCCAGACACCTCAGCAATCCCTGCAGATCCCCTCAAACAGCCACAGCCTAATTTATCTCCAAGCTCAGCCATTCCCTGCTATATTTGTTCTTTTAATACCAGCTACATCGTCTCGGCCCAATGATTCCTCTCCACAGCTCTGCCATGTTACAAGCAATAAACCTGATGGTGCATGAGACACAACAGGGTTTTATTCACACCCCTGTCCAAGAGCTGGCTCAGGAGAGCTGGCAGCCACAAGTGGTTTAGGTAATATTTGTCTCATACCTTTAGTTCCAAAGAAAGCCCAAACTATGGGGGGGTTGGGGGGGTTGGGGGGGTTGGGGGGGTTGGGGGGGTGGGGGGGTTGGGGGGGTGGGGGGTTGGGGGGTTGGGGGTTGGGGGGTTGGGGGGCCCAAACTATAGGGGGGGCCCAAACTATAGGGGGGGCCCAAACTATAGGGGGGGCCCAAACTATAGGGGGGGCCCAAACTATAGGGGGGGCCCAAACTATAGGGGGGGCCCAAACTATAGGGGGGGCCCAAACTATAGGGGGGCCCGTCAGGAAAAAAAATGCCAGTTTGGCTGCAGGACATCCTATCAGCTTCAAGCAATGCTGAAACAGAGCAATAATAATAGAATGGTTTGGGTTGGAAAGGACCTTAAAGCTCAACCAGCCCCAACCCCTGCCACGGGCAGGGACCCCTTCCACTGGAGCAGCTTGCTCCAAGCCCCTGTGTCCAACCTGGCCTTGAGCACTGCCAGGGATGGGGCAGCCACAGCTTCTCTGGGCACCCTGTGCCAGCGCCTCAGCACCCTCACAGGGAAGAGCTTCTGCCTAAGAGCTCAGCTCAGTCTCCCCTCGGGCAGGTTCAAGCCATTCCCCTTGGCCTGTCCCTACCAGTAAGATTTAGGTGGCCAGGCAAAAGCAACCAGAAGGCAACAGTGCCTGGGACATGTACAAGGAGGATGCAACATTCAGCTTCTTGACCAAGCACTTGGAGCAGCAGCACTCAGGCAAGTTTTGCTCTCTCCCAGATGCCCCTCTTGCCTTTATATAGTCATAGAATCATAGTTAGGATTGGAAAGGACCTTAAGATCGTCAAGTTCCAACCCCCTGCCATGGACAGGGACACCTCACACTAAACCATATTACTCAAGGCCTCGTCCAACCTAGCCTTGAGCACTGCCAGGGATGAAGCATTCACAACCTCCCTGGGCACCCATTCCAGTGCCTCAGCACCCTCACAGGAAAGAATTTCCTCCTTAGATCCAATCTAAACTTCCCCTGTTTAAGTTTTAACCCATTACTCCTTGTCCTACCACTATGTTTATGAACAATCCTCTTCTGGAGCGTAATAAAGGGTTGGAAAAACAATCCCGCATGAGCAAATAAATGAGCACGAGGTCCAGAGCTGATGCCAGAGCCTGAAAGGTTAAAGGCGAGATGGCATGCATGGAACAGGATTTAAGCTGTTCTTGCTGCCTCCTCCTACTAGCACTTGCTACACTCCTCCTAGATCTAACCCCAGGCCCCACCATGACTGTATTTCACTTTCAACCTGAGGCAGAGAACTTCTTATAAGTAGCATGAAATGGGTCAGGGATCCCGATAACAGCTCTCAAGGTAAAAAAGAGGGTTTGGGATCACTGCAATCACATTCTCTCAATGCAAAAGGTTGGTTTGCGTTTCCCAACTGCAGTATTTAACCAAGAGAAACTTCCCAGGAGACACTGCCTCAAGCACAGCGTGTTTGAGCCATAATCAGTACCTAGAGATGCTCCTTCTCCCCAGCTTCACAACACTGCGAGTCAATTCAGGTATAACGATTGGGGTATCAACTCTGGTAGGAGTCAGATGGCTTTGCTACATGAAGTACTGCAATTGGATAACCCCAGGAGCTCCCATTTCCACTTTATCTCTGGCTTCTTGGGATGATGCTGCTATCACAAAGCCACGTTCGGAGCACTGGATGCTGTGTTTAATCCTATTAGCTGATTACACGGCTGAGCAGCAGCAATTGTTTGCTCAAAGAGTGAACCCAACTGCCCAGTTTGGGAGCCAGACGGTCACAGTGACCTTGTGTACAGCAGCACATAACAGCAATGGGTGTTTGCTCCCGCTCTTGTCAAAAGCCATCTCTTTCAACAGCTCAGCCTATCTGCAGCACAACGAGGGCTGATGCTCCTCATGCCAACCCTGGTTCAACCAGACTAAAGCCTGGAGCATGGCTTTGCAGAGGTGGGAATATTTCTGCTATATATCATGCTATACAAGTATCCCTCTTGCCAAGTCCCAGCTCCTTCCTCCTCCATCACCTGCCATGCCATCACTTGGCCTAATACACATGGCAAGAATGAGGACCAATTTGTCCTGTGTTCACAGCAGAGAGGACGCTCATGCAAGAAGGCAACAACCTAAAAGGACCTTCCTGCCATAACCAAAGCAGATGAACATCAGGTTTGACCCTCTTTTCCCATGACTTTCTGTACATTTCTGGCAGGAGTCATGAATAACAACAAGGAAGCAAACAAGGAACGTCCCTTCCCATCCTGGCTCCACTTCCTAGTGAGAGCAGCCAAAGAAACAGGTTCCCCTTTCCAGGTCCCTTGTCTTGCTATTGGCTGCCTGGTTTCAACCTCCACACTGCATCACTTATGGGGAATGAGCTTTATAGAGACTGAAGATTCCATTCCATCGAGATTCATTTCCTCATGCCAAAAGGAAAGGCAGTTTCTGATCACACCACCCTCCTGTGAAGCAGGCATCACCACATCTCCCTCCTGGGGAGTTCAGCACAATAAACCCTGGTCACACTTTCAGAGAGAAGCTGTGGGCATCCATCGTCTGGAGAAGGCTCCGTGTTGCAGATCCCAAGAGGATGGGGATGCCTGCGTAAGCATGGAGTCAGCTGCCCCAATTTGAGGGGGACAAGACATGCCCACACTCACACTGGAGCATCCCCTCCATTCATCTCAGTGCATTCAGGTGACACATGGGAGCTCCTGGGAATTACACCCCTCCAAATTAAGATGATTCCCGGCCCAGATCTACACCACTGCACCCTTTACCACTTTCAACCCATGTTTCTGTTATCCTTCCAAAAGCCAGTGCCCTAAAAGAGCATCAAAGAGGAGAACTGTCCTCCCTGCACTAGTGTTCAATAGCTGTATAGAAGCTCTAAGAACCCTTTCTCCAAGCAAAGGGCAACCTGGAAAGATGCAAGAAGGCAGACCCCTCCATTTCAAGCCACGCTGAGACCAACTGCCACCTTCACTAAGCATCCCCAGCTCATCACATGCACGCTCACACAGCACAGAAGCATTTCAGACGCATGCTTGACCAGTTCACAAGTCTCAACCCCCAAATTGCCCATTTCCTTTATGAAAAGCACATTTGAGAGGGACTTACGGAGCAGCAGCACTTCCAGCACCATTCCCTGGTGGATGTTTCCGCACTAAAGGACCCAAAACACCTCCATCTCTCCAGCTTTCTGATGGTTTCAATGGGGCTGATGAGCTCTCAGCTGGAAAGGCTCTGGCACACAGTTTTATCTGCAGCAGAGCACACTTGTGTGCTCTGAACCTCCCTTATCACTGCTGCAAATAACAGCAGATAGGGAGAAGCACGTAATGCCTGGGGAGGGAAGGCGCACAAATACAAGTGGACACGTCATCTTCTGACCCCATTTGACCACGCTCATGACCTCAGGGGCTCCCTGTTCATCACCCCATGTAGCCTCGGAGGCTCCACAGCCCCTAGACAAGGACAGCCCTACATCCACCCCATAGACTGCGTCAGGAGCAGAGCGGACTCCAGACCTTCAGTGGGTCATCCCGATACGTCCCTCCAGGGAACATGCAGCCACGATACAAAGTTCATGGAAATAGGGAAGAAGCCAACGTTTTGCCTGAGCTGGGGGAAGAAGCCAAGAGAGCAGAATGATGGCCTCAGGGGTCCAATACAGCACTCGCTACAGCCAGACTATTACACAAGAAGCTTGGATTTAAGGACTGGAGAGAGAAGGCTCCTTAAGAGGAGACCTTAGAGCAGCTCCAGTGCCTAAAGGGGCTACAGGAAACGTGGAGAGAGGCTTGGGACAAGGGGAATGGCTTTACCTGTGGCAGGGGTTGGAACTGGATGAGCTTTAAGCTCCCTTCCAACACAACCACTCCAATGCTGCGATCTCACTTCAGACAATGCTCACAGCTTCCAACTGCTTCAGTTACATACTTCTGCCTTAAGCAAAGCACAAGAAGGGGTCTGGTGGATGCTAAACCCCAATCACCAAAACAAGGTGCTCTGGGTGGGCTACTCAGTTTGGGGTTTAAAGGTTCCAAGTTAGATGTGTTGAGCACGTTAAAGCATCAGGCCCCTGCCTTCACGCTGCTCCTGTGACAGCAGGAGTGATGCTCACCCTTCCCAGAGGGGCTTTCTGGAATGGTTTGCACCAAGACCTTCTTGCATCCAGAGCCTCCCTTCCAGCCTAGAGGCCTAGCACGCCACAGGGTAAGTTTTAAGCTCCTCACTACCCCTGTTACTTCCCATACCCCATGCAAGCTCAGGAGCACAGCTCCAATCACAGCACGCTGCAGGGCTGCTGCGTGCCCGGGTACCAACTCAAGGAAGGACATTTCTTCACCCGCTGGCCTTCAGCAGCATCGCTCCTGCCCGAGTTCCCAGGGACAGCATCTCTGTTGCTATAAACCCCCAAGCAGCTTTGTTTCCCTTTGCAAAGCAAAGCTGTATAAGGAGAACCCACACAGTCTGTGTTTCAGCAACAAGCATCCACACAGCGGCGTGACCTTGCAAGGCACAAAGGCTTTCCTGACACACCAGAGCCCACTTATTCCCATCACATTAACGTTTTAACATATACAGCTGTCCTCCCCACAGATACACCACATTCCTTTAACACACAGCTCTCCGACAGCAAGAGGCTGGAGATCCACACACACATACAGAATCCTTATGCAAAGGAGACAGATTAGGAAACACTTGTGATAAGGGAAAGTATCTCCAGCCGAGCTGTCAACCTCGTGCTTTAAATTAGGCTTTTAATGAGGGCCATAAGCACTCTGCATTCCAGTGATTAACTTGGAGCTAAATGAGTTGAGTTGCTTCTTTAACACCCATTCTGCTTCCAGGTTTCAGGCAGGAGCAGAAACAGGAGACAAGAACTACAAGGAGCTTGCAGGCTCTCGGGCACCAGCAACTCTTGAGGCTAATGACAAAGGACAAGGAGTGGGGTAACGCACCCCTAAGATAAGAGCCACCCACCACTATATACTTACAGAGCATCAAATGCAACACAGCAAGTGGTTCAGGAGCTCACAGGACTCAGCTTGGGAGCATAGGGAAAGATGAGACAATAATATCCATACATTGCTATTGGGTGAAAGCTGGGAAACAGCCCCCAAGTTGAGGGTATGAAGTGCAGAGCAGTCCTTCATGATAAACATCATTTGCATGTGAACAGGAACACGGCTAAAAATAGACCTTTTGAGAAGCCACGGGTCTCACCTTACCTCTTGGCTTGATGGATTGCAGGGCTCCAAACCCAGCCACAGATTACAAAGCCTGTTCAGCCATCATTACAGTGCGACTCTCCAAGCTCAAGCAATAGCCACAGATGGAAAAATCATAACCCAAAAAGCTGGAGAGAAATGGAGCGAATCACTCAGCTGGATTCCTGCCTGGACACCCAGCCCAAGCCGCAATCACTGCCTGTTTGCTCCCTTTCCATCTGCAATAGGTTTAACTGGCAGTTTCAAGCCTCATTGACAAGACCCATGAATAATCAGGGGGTAGGTTGACACCGACATGCCCACAATACCTGCAAACAATCACTGCTGTATCAGGCCACTGCCTACAAGAGATCTCAGCCTCAAGGAACTTCTTTATGGGGCTTCTTCATACAAGGAAATAGTTGAGTGAGGAAGAGAGGCTGGGTTTGTGCATAGACCTCTTCTCCAAGAGGCCTTTCTTGTCTCCGAGAAAGGTCAATGGGTTGGATGACTCCTTCCTACATCAGCAGCTGAGACATGCAGGAAGCATTTTAATCCCAAGGAAAGCATTAATTACCTCTTAAATAAAAAGCAAACATGCTAAATCCACCCAAATATCCAGGAGTGACCTCACCACCATGGTAAGTCCCTGTAAACAAGCCTCAACCCTCCCCATCCCTCTCAGAGACAGGGTTTAGGCACCAGTGGAGCCTCCAGTTACTGTGATCCAGGAAGCTCACAGATCTCAGCTCCATCTAAACCTGCCCTGGTGCAGCTTGAGGCCGGTTCCTCTTGTCCCATCCCTTGTTCCTTGGGAGCAGAGCCCAGCCCCTCCTGGCTCCATCCTCCTCTCAGGCACTTGGAGGCAGCCATCAGGTCCCCCCTGAGCCTTCTCTTCTCCATCTGAACCCCCAGGTCCCTCAGCCCTTCCCCATCACACTTGGGCTCCAGGCCCTGCACCAGCTCCATTCCCTTCTCTGGCCCCGCTCCAGCCCCTCAATGTCTCTCTTGCAGTGAGGGGCCCAGAGCTGAGCACAGGATCCAAGAAGGAACCCTATGTACAAGCCTCAAACCCTCCCCCTGCTCCTCAATGACCTGCTCCAGGATTACACCTACCTCCCAACACCCTCATAGAGCCCTCAGTGCATCACCCCATCAGCTTCGGGTACCAACTCCCAACCAGCATCCACAGTGCTGTAGCCATCTCCAAGCTTGAGAATGTAATCTATTTTATTTGCTTTGCTGCAATTCTGCAGTAGGCAACAGGCCCATTGACTTGAGACTCGGGCAATTTGATTTATGATGAGGTGACTGTCAACTCAAGAGATTCATCAATATGAGGTTAAGTGGCCCAAGATATAATCTATTAGAGTGGCTCCGAACAACACTTGGACATTGAAGGGTACAGCCAGTCCATTACATCCCTTTAAATGCTACACCCAAAATACCTACTAAAGGAAATACTCATCTTCGCTTTGTGCTATTTAAGTCAGATGCGAGATGCTTCCCCTGAGCAAGCTGTGTAAATAGGAGCCCAAAACTGCATCTAACCTCAGGTTGGGGGAGGGAGAAGTTTCATTTCAGCTCAGAAAGGGAGGCAAAAACGTGGGGATCAGACATTTATAAAGAGGTTGTACAAATGACAGCAGTTTTAAGAGAAATGGCAAGATATAAAGAAAATAAAGATTAAGAACCAAAGGCAAGCTTGTTTGAAGGGGGAAAAGCACAAGATAAAAGCTGCTTTAGCACAGTGCCACATGGTAAATCCGAAAGTGAAACACATCCTGAGCCTTCCCATCCAGCAGCAGCAGAAACTTCCAGCCCATCACCTCCAAGTACTCTGGGATCCAGCAGCCTGGACCCAAAAGCTGGCTCCCAAGCAGCCAGAGATGCAGTGGTTCGGGAACAGGAGGATTCAGTTCTGTCATGACTAAGGAATTACAGTAAAACCAGGACAAGCTATTTCCAAGACGGAGATCAGCTGCCAGCAGCACAGATGTGGGAGCCCAGATTTGTGCATCACTCAAAGAAAGGGGCTTTTTGCCTCCCTCCTATCCCCATCCCACCCTTTATCCAGCGGGAAGGAAACAACAGCCCACATCAGCAACACCTGGAGCAGCAGCCACAAAACCCAATAAATCAGTGCAAGAAATATTCACCAAACCCCCCAGTTTTAGAAAGCTGAATCTGCCCAAAGACAAAGCGAGCAAGAGGCAGAGCTCAATCACGATGCGCAACGGATTCAGTATGTGACAACACACGATGCATGGAGATAGACGTGAGCATGGAAGAACTCCCCTCTACCACCCATGAAAGTCCTTGTTTGCACTGAATACCCTTCAGGGGAGCACTGTGGACCTTGAAACCCCTCCTTGGCAGAGAGCTTCCCCAACTGTTTCATTCCCTATAAGAATAAGGCTTTTCTCTCAGGTTATTGAGCAATGACAAGCTATTGAACCAACACACACACAGTGGCCTGCCACTATCTGTGGGTATTTGGGGAGGAAGAGAGGAGAACGCCGTGGTGAGCTAAAGAGGGAAAAGCAGCAAAGGCAAAACCACCAGCGTTCAGCTTCTGCATAGGTTTGGAAAGTCGAGGCATGCATTAAAGTAGCTGTATCTAATCACTGTTTATAGAGGGGCTGGCAGGCGAAAGCAACTGCTATAAACAGCCTTTTAAATCCCTTTTCCCAGCATCACTCTTAGAGTATCCCTACAAAGGTCTCTTAAACACCAGCAGCATACTCAGGGTAAGGGAAAACCATCAGGGAGAAGAGCTGGAAGAGGAAGGTTTGGCTTGAGGAGGGATGGAGAAGGAATGAGGTGCCTGGGTCCCACATACACACTAACACTGCACCCCTACAAGAGCCTCTTGGACCCCTGGGTGGGCAAAGCTTTCCCCTCCATGTATTCCAGCATGGGTAAGGAAGCAGCTCGTTGGTGTGACACTGCCCTCTCCTGAGCAGAAGGAGCTGCTCAGCTTCACACCCAGCTCCATACAATGATTACTGGGGAGCAAACATCACTCACCCCAC